CCTCCCATTCTCCCCAGTCCCTTTCCCTTTGTTAACTGTTAGTCCATTCTTGGGTTCTGTGATTCTGCTGCTGTTTTGTTCCTTCAGTTTTTCTTTGTTCTTATACTCCACATATGAGTGAAATCATTTGGTATTTGTCTTTCTCCACTTGGCTTATTTCACTGAGCATAATACCCTCTAGCTCCATCCAGGTTGTTGCAAATGGTAGGATTTGTTTTCTTCTTATGGCTGAATAATATTACATTGTGTATATGTACCACATCTTCTTTATCCATTCATCTACCAACGGACTATTATTTATTTTTATGAGAAATTGCTAGTTGCCTCTAGTGCTTGATACCTAGTACAAAGTCAATAAATATTTACTAAAGGATGAATTGTTAACATGTTTTTACATAACCTTTTGAGCATCTTTTTTAATGGACCATCTGTTGTTGACTTATTACTCTGTTGTTGGGTATTAGGCTATAAATGATTGTCTAAAACATATTGAGAATTTTGATGTAGGTAGCTTTTTCTTTGTATAAGGTTATTTCCTTAGAACAGATTTCCAGAAGTGATTATGGGTCAAATTATTAGTCAGAACTCTTGGTTGCAAGGGATAGAAACACAGTTGGGGAATGTTTGACTACCTTCACTGGGGAGTGCAGAATAAATCTATCTTGCCCCAGTGCTAAATCAAGTGCTCCAATTATGCCCTTGGGGCTTTGTCTTGTTTACCAGTGCTCTTTGCTTCATTCTGGCCAACTCTTGCCACATGGTGTTGAAGATGGACCTGGGTAAAATTGTAGTTTATAATCCTGGCAAACATACTGAAAAATATTTGATTTAGCTAGTGTCTTGTGTCTCTCCCTGAACCAGTCAATTACTGTGGCCAGTGGGATAAAGTACTTTGATTGACTAAGCATATGCCATATGCCCACAGTTGGGGTGAGGTCAGCTCCACCAGATCACATGGCCTGACTAGATTATTTTAGAATGTAAGGAATGTGGTTCTCCCAGGAAAGGAACTCGGACAGACGGGAAAAGGATATCTGTTGTTTTATTAAATTATTTAATAATTATTCCATCATTTAATCTTCAATTTCATTAAATATTTTTTATTGCTCTTGATAGTCATTGCTGAATGATTTCTAAAAATTTATACTAGCCCTGGCAATAATTCTTATTTTGCTATATTCTCAACATTCTTATTTTCTAAATATTTTGCTACTTTAATAAAAATGGCACCTTGTTTATACTTCCTTTTTCAGTTAACATCTATCATAACTATTTTCTGTAACTGTAATTTAAATGGTTGCTTATTCTTGCATTTCATAGGTTTGCTATAGTTTACCAAGCTATTTTCCAATTACTGGTCATTTGGGTCGTTTCATAGTTTTTTGTAAACTTTTGTAGGTAGTAATGCTGCCGGTATTTTGTATGCCCATAGGTTTTTGCCTCTGTTGAGTTTTTTCTTGTGGAAAAATTCTAATGATATTTTTGCATCAAACGTATAAACATCTTTATGCCCCTTGCTTTCAAAGAATTTTACTAACTTGTATTTTTACTAGTATTAATTGTAGTTATTGTGTCACATTTTTACTAACATCAAGCATTATTTTTAAAGAGTATTTGTTAGTTAAGTACAAAAAGAGATCTTGAATTCTTTTAATTTTCAGTTTTAAATTAACAAATATTTTTCAGTGAATCTTCAACTCCTGTCTTCCCCTTACCTTGTTATTTAGAGTGCAAATACCAAGACATACCCTGTTCTTTATGCCATTTATTCTTGTGCCCAGGTCTGGTCCATCGAACTCACATGTCATCCTGTCGTGTGGATAAGCCCTCTGAGCTAGTAGATGTTGGAGACAAAGTGTGGGTGAAGCTTATTGGTCGAGAGGTAAAGTTCTATGCAACTTTCATGTGTTTAGAAAGAATTAGGAAAATCTGGGGATTTTATTGGTATTTTATGATGATGAGTGTGTATATGTTTGGTTAACTGTGGCTGATCTTATTTTTGAGTCCTGCCACTGTATTCTGCGATTTAAACCTTTTGGCTGTTTACCCTGCAAGCACAGAAGGAATGGTGTCAACTGTACTAAGTGTGGTGCAAAAGTACATGTTTATAAAACTTCCCTCCCTGAAGTTTACCCAAATGATAGGTGGGAAGTAAAAAAAAAAACAGAAAAGAACTAAACAGAGAGAAGGAAGTTAATTGGGACTAGTCTTTATTACAACTTCCAAAGAATACCTGCCAGATACACTTCAATTTGGACCAGAATCAACAAGGACACAGAGTTTACAATCGTTTATTTTTCCTAATACCTGGTACCATACAGTGTGAGGGAAGTCAGAAAGGTCTGAAGGACCCTGTTATAACAACTCACTGAAGGGTATGAGGGCTGTGCGTGTGGGCAGACCTCAGGAGAAATGGGAATTGACACTGAGGCTCTTCTAGCAAGAGAAGGGCAGGGGAGACAGGCCTGAAAGAGACAGTATTCAGCAATATTTGAGTGCTTAATGTGTACTAGTGTGAGGGATACAAGTGAGCCGGACAGCAATGGCCACAGCTGTTATGGAGCTTATGTAGACTATAATTGGAGGAGACAAATATAAAAGTAAACAAGCACATACATAAAATAATTGCAAATTATAATGAGTGCTGTAATGGGTTCAAACAATATCAGAGGTAGACTTAGGTAAAGTGATCAGGAACAAGCTCTCTGAGGAGATAGAATATGAGCTGAGACCCAAAGAAAAAGGAACTAATTGTATACAAAGTTGAGATAAAACTATTCCAGGCCAAGAGAAGAACTGTTGCAAGACGCTGAAGTGAAGAAGGGCTTCAAATGCTGGAGGAAGTGAAAGAAGACCAGTGTGGCTAACAATTGTCTTAATATTTAAAATGCTCTAGACTAAGTCCAAAAGGAGATCTAGTCTATAGGAATGTTCTGAAACCCATTCTAGGCTCATGATTCTGAGCCGATTATTAGGCTTTCTTAACTGGAAGAAACAGCGTTTATTTTCTGCCTGCTAACCTCCACAGACTTTATAGATTGCTGAGCAGCCATTTCTGTCTCTACCCCCAGAGGGACTAGAATGAGATGAAAACCATTTCCTCAAGTTGTTTTGCCACAGGATCTGCCTGTTACACATACTAGTACACAGTGTCCCTAGCATGGGGCCTCGGCCTTTAGAGAAGGTTAATATTCGTTAGGATGACAAAAGCTTCCATTCTGAGTCAGATAATTGCAGACCAGCAGTCTAAGTGATGTCTCTGAGCTTTTGGTGATTTTGCTTTTGTCTTTTTCAGATGAAAAATGATAGGATAAAAGTATCCCTCTCCATGAAAGTTGTCAACCAAGGAACTGGGAAAGACCTCGACCCCAACAACGTTATCATTGAGTAGGTACAAGACTTAGAAAGGCTAAAATCCTTCCGCCTATCAAACCACAGAATGCTGTAGGGAATCAGTCCGACCTGGGAACCCTACCATTTATAGATGGTGATATTGCTGAGTTATGTAATCTTTGTAATCTTTGATTTTCAGAGGTACAAAATGTAGGTCACACTTTACCGGGTAGAGTTCTAAGATGAAATGCTGACATGCAAACCCCTAGCATAGATGTCCTCTATCAACGATTTTGTTTCCTTCCCTGTATTTTCCATCTGCATTTTAACCAGTTAGCTACCAAGCATGCATGAAGTACCTGTTACTTGCTTCTCTCCGAGCACTAGGGCTGAAAAAAAGTAGAGACCATGTGGGAGGACAGGGTAATCTAGAAGCAACAGTGGGGCTTAGACTCCTGTGTGTTGGGATATATTGTGTTCTGAACACAACACCTTACTTTCATTGGCTCTCCTGACCTTTCATTTAGGGATGAAATACTTTATGCCTCGTAGGATAATGTCCGGTGATACAGGGCATTTGCTGTCTATCTCAAAGTCTTGAATATAAGCTATTGATTTCTTACCAGGGGTTCCTAGATCTCTAAGCACCCTTGAAGGAGTCTTGGGGGTTTATGAACTGTTACCAGTGTTTCAGAAAGCCAACCAAAATCATACATTTATCTTGAGGTTAACCATGACATTACTTGTTGCTTTTGATGATAAAATATACCGTTGTTTATCTCATGCTAGTCAGGTGCTCCCATGTGCATGTGCCAGGCAGTTAATGTACCTTTGTCAATCTAATTCTCATAACAACTTCCAAAGTGGGTGTTTGTATTTTACTTTATATTTCTAGTTTCTAGCTTGATGCTTGGTGATGAGTAACTTGCCTGTGGTTATGTAGCAAATTATAGTGGGTCAGGGACTTGAATCTAGGTCTCCCTGACATTAAAGCTAGTGCTTTTTCACCACATGATGCTTCTAGCTGTTGCATGTGTCTTAGAGAGTTTGTCCATTTTCTGTAGTTTAGTCTGTAAATATTGACATGTTTATAGGAGCTAAGTATTGATGAAACACTTTCTAGTCACAAAGAAATATTTTATAACTCAGAGCTCAAAAATGTTAAAATCTGGCATTTACTGATTACATTGTAATAAATTGCTTCTGCTCCAAAGAATCCTATGCTCTACAGATTCATTAAAAAGCAGTGGAATTGCCCAAAACCATCCTTTAAAGGGTAAAATATAAAACAAGTAAGGTAAAGAGCTATCTTTCTTTCTCTAAGAAAGGGAAAGGGCTCCCTGGCTTTGTGCTGTACATGCCTCTGTGTATAGGCTATTTCTAGTAATAACCAAGTAGCTAAACAGTAATTTTTGTTATAAACTTTGTCTAGAGCTGCCTTCAGGGGAAGAAGCATGGTATAGTGGGATGATGATAGGTTTTAGAGTTAGACTTGAATCAGAAGGAGGGCTAGTGCTGCTGTGGATTAGTATATGACCTTGAGCAGATTACTTAGCTTTTCTGAACCTCAGCTTCTTCACTATGAAATGGAGGTAGGTAGTGACACCTACGTCTCAGAAATGACGGATTAATTTAAATACAATCCTGTTTGTAAAAAGCCTAGCTTAGTATCTTATCTAGTTAATAGTAGAAACTGAATACATAGTAGAGATACTTACAGTTTTGTTTTAAAATGTCTCTGTTTTTTGTTTTTCCTCTCTCTGAGGTTATCACACCTTTTCTTTTCAAACAATATCCGTGAGATCCACAGGAGCATGGGCCATGTCTTACCTTTTTTTTTTTCATGTTTTACCTTTCTTATCTCCCATGTGTAGCAGTTGTTGAGTTGGTTCACTCACTCAACAAACTGGGTTCATGTTCTGTATGAAGTACGGTGGCAATACCAAAGTTTCTGCTTAAGGATCTTACTGCCTAGTATAATGAGATAATTATGCAAATAACATTAATATAGGACAACATACAATAAATGCTAAGAGAGTGGTTTAAAGAAAGGCATGTAGGAATCACTTGAAAAGGAAGAGCTGATTTCAGGCCCTGATGGTGAGAGAAGAGGTGGCATTTTTGCTAGGTCTTCAAGAATGGATAAGATTTTGTCAGGCAGCAGGGGAAGGAATGGTATTCCAGGCAGAAGAAATAGTTTGAGGAAAGGCATGAGGTGAGAAAGCACAAGGCATTCAGGGATCTTGTTTAAGAAAAGACTAGGGTGTGGTCATATACTAGAATGTTAGGCTTAAAAGATATGTTGGGGTCAGATTGTGGAGAGCTTTGAATGTCAATCAAAGAATATATATGAATTTTTAAAGCCTTTGAGTGGGAGAGGCTCCTGATCAGATTAATCTTTGCAGGTACCCAGTTCTCTGGTCTAGTCCTGTTATGCTCAGTATCTTCATGCAGTCTCTAGCCACACACGGTTTGTTACTACCTTTCATTTTCCACTAAAATCTAGCTATCTTACATTTCATCCTCTCTACCCCAAACTGTTAAAGAGGCCATCTAATAAATAAATTTACAAATAGAAAGGGGCTAAAGGCAATTTCCAAGTAGGTTTGGCCAGCATATTGTAGTCTTTAAAAAGAGCATTTATGATTCACCATACTGTAATTATCTGTTTATATGTCTCCCTCCTCTGCTAGATCTAACCTCCCTGAGGAAAAGGACCATGTTCTATCATTTTAATACATTTACTCTTAGCACTAGTGCTAGCACAGGTGCTTGCCACTTATTAGTTGAACTGAAAAAAGAAAGATTAGTCCAACTGAGTGAGCTGGATGGATTGGAGGAGGAAAATTGGAGGCAAGGAGACCAGTGAGGGGATTATTACAATTTAGGTGAAATGTAGTGAAGCCTAAACTAGCATGATGGCTTTGAACATAGAAAGGGAGAGGTGGTGAGTGACACATTTGTTGAATTGAGTGTTACGTGGGAGATGTGATTTGGCATGTAGTATATTAGAATCCACAGACTGTTGGAATTGATCGTAATGAGGGTTTGCTTAAATTGTCTCAGGGCCACTTGAAACTCACTTCTGCAGATAAGGACATCTGAAAGTCATGCAGTTTGTGACTTGCTCAAGTTATGTTCCTAGGATCCTGCCCTGGTTTTTAAAAAATTTTTATTTTATGGTGGTGAGAACACTTAAGAGGAAATTTACCCTCTTAACAAATGTTTAGGTGTACTGTAGAGTATTGTTATTATACTATAGGGAAACTTTTGTACAGTAGAGCTCTAGAACTTATTTTGCTGAACTGAAGCTTTATGCCCATTGATAAGTAACTCCCCATTTCCCTCCCCACCTCCCTCATCTGGGCTTTGTTACTCAAGCTTCACTCTTTGAAAGGACTCTCTTCCATGACCCGGACCAGTCAGTTGGCTCCCTATCCTTTGAGTAAGACTGTTCTAGGGCAAAAGCTAGGGATTTGAGCAGACATTTTCAAAATTTAAATCATGCTCATCTGTACTGTCTAACTGAGTAGCCACCAGTTACATATAGCTATTTAAATGTAAATTTAAAAATTAAATAAAATTTAAAATCCAGTTCCTCAATCACACTAACCATATTTTAAGTGCTCCATGCCACAGACATAGTCAACAGTACAGACACAAATTTATAGAACTTTTCCACCATTGCTTTCTGTGCTAGATGGTGTACTGCCTGCTCGGATACAGGGAAGAGCAAGACACAGACTTTACCTTTGAAGTCCTGCTCCTGGAACAGAGGGAAAGGCAAATGTAAACAAAGCTAACAAAATAAAATGATCAGAGAGTAAAACTCTGTGAAAGCACCAAAGAGTAATTAACTCTGCTTGTGGTGCAGGGAGCATTTTGTAGAAGTTGCAGTATTTGAGCCAATATTGAAGAATGAATGGGACAGAATATGGAATACCTTTGTCCTGCCCATTTTCTCTCTTGATCCTGCACAGTCCATGAAACTGTTGGCTAAAATATGTGACGTGGGTAACTTTGTTCTACTTTTTTGATGTTGTTATTCCTGCATTTATCTGGCAAATGTGGCTTGTTTGATAGAACATTTCTGTTTTTGCTGGACTTTATAGAGACATGGTGAATTGTTGGAAAATCTTAGATGAAGTAAGAGTTCAAAGTTAAGAAGTTCAGGTAAAACATTTGCAGCAGCATGGATGAAGCTGGAGGGTATTATGCTCAGTGAAATAAGCCAGGTGGAGAAAGACAAGTACCAAATGATTTCCCTCATCTGTGGAGTACAAGAACAAGCAAAAATGAAGGAAGAAAACAGCAGCAGACTCACAGACTGTAAGAAGGGACTAGTGGTTACCAAAGGGAAGGGGTTGGGGAGGGTGGGTGGGGAGGGAGGGTGAAGGGGATTAAGAGGCACTATGATTAGCACACATAGTGTAGGTGGGTCACAAGGAAGGCAGTTAGCACGGAGAAGACAAGTAGTGACTATAGCATCTTACTACGCTGATGAACAGTGATTGCAATGAGGGGTGGGGGGGACTTGATAATATGGGTGAATGCTGAAACCACAGTGTTGCTCATGTGAAACTTTCATAAGATTGTATAGCAATGAAACCTTAATAAAAAAAAAGTTCAGGTAAAAAATTATGATATTCTGGGTGAAGAGCAAAGAATTTCAAGAAACCATGGTCTAAAGTATGGGAGAAATAAACACAAATAAGGTATTATAGAAAGGGTTCATGCTCTAGAGAAGAAATATCAATATATCATGTAATAAAGTGATGTGTGGATAGGATACAGTTTGAGTTTGAAAGTGAGAGTGATGGAAAGTGATGCCCTTCAAATATTTCCTGAGTACCTACTCTGTACAGGTACTATGTGTTACAGTAAAGGTAAAAGGTAAGAGCTATGACAACCGGGGTGTCTAGGCTCTGCTGGAAGGAGTATAACTGGTAAACACACTTGAAAAACTGTCTGGCAGTGTCTACTCCAGCTGATGCCCAACAACCCGCCAGTTCTACCCCTACCTGGAAGTAGGTATTTCCCAACAGAAATGCTTACATATGTATTCATTGAAAGACCTGTGCTGGAAAGTTCACAGAAGCACTGTTCATAATAGAAATTACTCAAGATACCCATCAACAGCAAAATAAACATTGCAACAACATGGATGGAGCTAGAGGGTATTATGCTCAGTGAAATAATACCCTGCAGAGAGTGGGTATGAAAATTCACAACCACACACTACAATATGGATGAATCTCACAAACAAGCACAAGAAGCCAGACACAGAAGGGTCCATACTCTATGATTCCACTTATATGATTCACAAAAATAATTACGACTGATCTGTGCTGTTAGAAATGAGAATAGTATTTACCTTTGGGGGAGGCATGGTGACTAGAAGGGCTTCTGAGGTGCTGGAAATGTTCTGTTTCTTTATGAACACCTTTCTGCATGTATGTTATACTTTGGTTAAAAGCTAAGAATTTTGCACAGGGAAGACAGTATAGCCCAGAGAAGGTAAGTAGTGAGTCTATAGCATCTTACTATGCTGATGGACAGTGACTATACTGGGATATGTGATGGGGACTTGATCATGGGGGGAATCTACTAACCACAATATTGCTCATGTGGTGTGTATTAATGATATCAAAATTTTAGGAAAAGGTTAGAAAATTTAAAAAGTGCTATGGGAAAGAGATTAATTCTGGCTGAGTGGCTTAGGGAAGAAGACTTAATAGAAACAAGTGGTAACTAAGCAGATCTTTAAAATGTTTAGGTGTAGAGGTGGTAAGGTGGGAGTAAAGACAGGAGCACAGCATTTCAGAGAGAGGGAACTGCCTGAGCAAAAGCAGTGAACCATTTGGAGAAGGAAAAATGGTTTGGTTTGGCTGGAGCATATTGTACAAGTAAAGAAGAGCCGGAAAATGGAAAAGTAGATTAGAGACAAATTATGAAAGGTAAGGAATTTGGACTTCATTTTCTAGGAAATCTCAGAAGGTCTTTTAAACCCAGGAGTGACTTTGTAAAGGTTGTAGGGGCCTTTGTGGGTGAGTAATTATATCTTCATCCTCAGTGCATTGGTGAGATGAAGTTGAGTCCCATTCATAATTATTACTTCAGAGCCTTGTCCTGAATGAAACAATTGTCAATTTCATGTTATTTCTTTCATCACCTGTCTCCTCATGTTCTTCGGTCTCCCTTTTACCTGCCAAAAACAAAACAAAAAGGCAACATACAGCATTACCTGTGACATCTCTGGCCACATCTCTTAAGAGGGCCAACAGTCAGTATCCTTTTTGTTACAGGCAAGAAGAGAGGCGAAGGCGGTCCTTCCAGGATTACACTGGGCAGAAGATCACCCTCGAGGCTGTCCTTAACACTACCTGCAAGAAGTGTGGCTGTAAAGGTAAGGTAAATCTCTGCCGCTTCAGTCTTTCTCTCCTTGTGAACAGACCCTTTACTGGGTGAGGGAGACAGCCTAGTGTGAGTTTATTAATTCACCGTTTTCTAGTCAAGTGGTGGTCTCGCCTGCTCATGCTGTTATTCCTACTAGACTCACATTAGAGTTCATGGCTTGAGGCTTTTCCTGTTACCTCTTCTGAATGCTGGCCATGCCAGATGCTGTACTATCCCCACTCCCCTCCCCACTCTGCATCTGAAGCCCTGCCTGGGCAAGGCCCCCATGTACTATGCCGGGAGCATAGAGTGTCGGATTATGATTAACACTAAATTTTTTATCTGTAAGGACTATTATTATTCTGTTGCAAAAATCAAGCAACTTGGAAATATATTCCTTAAGGATCCAAGACAAATCTCTTACTTCAGGGTTCTGAATACAATATCCTTTTAGTAATAAAGAACACAGGCTAGTCCCTTCCTTTTAGCTTTGTTTCCTCAGGTTTCCTCTAGTCTTACTCAAATATTAAAGAACTCTTTCAGCCTGATTTCCCTTGTTGGAGCTATAATGAAAGGTGTTGCCAACTTCTCATTTTCAGAGTGACCTCAATTTGTCACCCCTTCTCCCTAGCCTTCCGTCTATTCTGCTCTCTTGATTTTTGTATATCTACTGGTAGCAGATTTGTGCCCGGTTTAAGCCCCTATTTATCATTAATGTAGAAAGAGGAAGGGAAAAGTAAAATTGAGAAAGAGACCTCCTTTGGCATTTTGGGCACATTCCAGATATTTGGGAAACTCTGTGTTCTATTTCCCTTCCAGGCACCATCCAGCTTTTGAACTCAGGGTTGCAAAGTAGTTTACATGTAGCTTTTTGATGATCTCATCAAATCCTCTTGTGCCTGAGACAGGATCTACACACTCAGACAAAACCAGCTCTGTAGCATCTGTTAAAAGGCCCTTTGATAGCTCTGTAGGCTCAGTGATACCCATCAACAGCAAAATAAACATTGCAACAACATGGATGGAGCTAGAGGGTATTATGCTCAGTGAAATAATACCCTGCAGAGAGTGGGTATGAAAATTCACAACCACACACTACAATATGGATGAATCTCACAAACAAGCACAAGAAGCCAGACACAGAAGGGTCCATACTCTATGATTCCACTTATATGATTCACAAAAATAATTACGACTGATCTGTGCTGTTAGAAATGAGAATAGTATTTACCTTTGGGGGAGGCATGGTGACTAGAAGGGCTTCTGAGGTGCTGGAAATGTTCTGTTTCTTTATGAACACCTTTCTGCATGTATGTTATACTTTGGTTAAAAGCTAAGAATTTTGCACAGGGAAGACAGTATAGCCCAGAGAAGGTAAGTAGTGAGTCTATAGCATCTTACTATACTGATGGACAGTGACTATACTGGGATATGTGGTGGGGACTTGATCATGGGGGGAATCTACTAACCACAATATTGCTCATGTGGTGTGTATTAATGATATCAAAATTTTAGGAAAAGGTTAGAAAATTTAAAAAGTGCTATGGGAAAGAGATTAATTCTGGCTGAGTGGCTTAGGGAAGAAGACTTAATAGAAACAAGTGGTAACTAAGCAGATCTTTAAAATGTTTAGGTGTAGAGGTGGTAAGGTGGGAGTAAAGACAGGAGCACAGCATTTCAGAGAGAGGGAACTGCCTGAGCAAAAGCAGTGAACCATTTGGAGAAGGAAAAATGGTTTGGTTTGGCTGGAGCATATTGTACAAGTAAAGAAGAGCCGGAAAATGGAAAAGTAGATTAGAGACAAATTATGAAAGGTAAGGAATTTGGACTTCATTTTCTAGGAAATCTCAGAAGGTCTTTTAAACCCAGGAGTGACTTTGTAAAGGTTGTAGGGGCCTTTGTGGGTGAGTAATTATATCTTCATCCTCAGTGCATTGGTGAGATGAAGTTGAGTCCCATTCATAATTATTACTTCAGAGCCTTGTCCTGAATGAAACAATTGTCAATTTCATGTTATTTCTTTCATCACCTGTCTCCTCATGTTCTTCGGTCTCCCTTTTACCTGCCAAAAACAAAACAAAAAGGCAACATACAGCATTACCTGTGACATCTCTGGCCACATCTCTTAAGAGGGCCAACAGTCAGTATCCTTTTTGTTACAGGCAAGAAGAGAGGCGAAGGCGGTCCTTCCAGGATTACACTGGGCAGAAGATCACCCTCGAGGCTGTCCTTAACACTACCTGCAAGAAGTGTGGCTGTAAAGGTAAGGTAAATCTCTGCCGCTTCAGTCTTTCTCTCCTTGTGAACAGACCCTTTACTGGGTGAGGGAGACAGCCTAGTGTGAGTTTATTAATTCACCGTTTTCTAGTCAAGTGGTGGTCTCGCCTGCTCATGCTGTTATTCCTACTAGACTCACATTAGAGTTCATGGCTTGAGGCTTTTCCTGTTACCTCTTCTGAATGCTGGCCATGCCAGATGCTGTACTATCCCCACTCCCCTCCCCACTCTGCATCTGAAGCCCTGCCTGGGCAAGGCCCCCATGTACTATGCCGGGAGCATAGAGTGTCGGATTATGATTAACACTAAATTTTTTATCTGTAAGGACTATTATTATTCTGTTGCAAAAATCAAGCAACTTGGAAATATATTCCTTAAGGATCCAAGACAAATCTCTTACTTCAGGGTTCTGAATACAATATCCTTTTAGTAATAAAGAACACAGGCTAGTCCCTTCCTTTTAGCTTTGTTTCCTCAGGTTTCCTCTAGTCTTACTCAAATATTAAAGAACTCTTTCAGCCTGATTTCCCTTGTTGGAGCTATAATGAAAGGTGTTGCCAACTTCTCATTTTCAGAGTGACCTCAATTTGTCACCCCTTCTCCCTAGCCTTCCGTCTATTCTGCTCTCTTGATTTTTGTATATCTACTGGTAGCAGATTTGTGCCCGGTTTAAGCCCCTATTTATCATTAATGTAGAAAGAGGAAGGGAAAAGTAAAATTGAGAAAGAGACCTCCTTTGGCATTTTGGGCACATTCCAGATATTTGGGAAACTCTGTGTTCTATTTCCCTTCCAGGCACCATCCAGCTTTTGGACTCAGAGTTGCAAAGTAGTTTACATGTAGCTTTTTGATGATCTCATCAAATCCTCTTGTGCCTGAGACAGGATCTACACACTCAGACAAAACCAGCTCTGTAGCATCTGTTAAAAGGCCCTTTGATAGCTCTGTAGGCTCAGGACAGGTGGGACCCTTTAACTTCAACTTGTGTCCTCCAGGTATTGCATGGCGCAGAGAAGAATGAGAAATGGAATTTGGTCCAGGTAGCAAGGGCCAGGCCAAAGGTGGTTGGTTTGGGTGCAGCAGAAAGAGCACAGGACAGGGTGGTATGAGACCTGTGATAAGTTTTAGCTCTGCTTCTCTCTCTGTGACTTGGAGCTACTTTTCCACTCTGGACCTTCATACCCTCTGCAAATGCAGTGTTGGGTTTGTTTGTCTCTAAGGCCCTTGCCAGACCTGACAGTCCAAATGTTGAGTGCCCCTAGATGACTGTTCCTCTGGGCCTTAGCTTGGAGGTGAGTGCTGCTTTCCTGCCGGCTGCCTAAGAGCTGTCTTCCTTTAGGGCTTGGCTGCCACTTGGCTCCCTCTGCTGAGCATTCTGCTCTATGGAGCAATCTTTTGCTGCCAGGAATAAGTTCCAAATAGATCTCTAAAAATTGCTAAGCCCTATCGCTAATGAAGGGCAGCACCTACATTCTCAAATCCTCTGCCATTTCCAAAGCAACACCATTGTTTCCCACAGCTCTAGGACCAGCCGCTAGTGTGGCTCAGGTTGAGTGAGCAGTGCCCTCTTGAGGTGACAGAAAATCTGCTCTGAATGGAACAGCTGCTCTGAATGAACTCCGTAAACCTGAACCAGCTGGGCCCTGTCAGGAGCCTCTGGGGAAGATCCGCCTGCAAAGAGAGAGACTGCTGCTCCCCTTCCTACCTTTTCTACCTCTCCTCCCTCTCTTCTGCAGGCCACTTTGCAAAGGATTGTTTCATGCAACCCGGGGGTACCAGATACTCTCTGATACCTGATGAAGAAGAAGAGAAGGAAGAGGCAAAGTCAGCAGAGCTTGAGAAGCCTGACCCCACAAGGAATTCTTCCAGAAAAAGAAAGAAGGTGGGTACTGTCTTTTACTCTGGTTGTTGTAATTTTTTTGAGTTTTAAAATGAAGTGTACTTCTTGCAGAAATTTTAGGAATACTGAAAAACATAAAAAATATTAGGATCTCCTGTAATCTTTCCACCCAGAGAGACCCTTATAGTATTTTTAATATATTCCAATCTTTTTTCTAGGTAATAAAAAATATGTATATGTAGCTACATATACAGTTAAATATAAAAAACTATGGCCATCCCAGGTATAGTTTATATCCTGTTTTTTTATATCAATCAAAAGCATTTTCTAGTCCTTGAGTGTCCTTCAAAAAATTGATGTAAGAGCAATATATGACATTCTACCCACCCTATGGCTGTCTGAAGGTTTATTTAATAATTTTTCAATTGTTGGATATTTTTGATTATTTCCAATTTAAATCTCTTACTGCTTTCTTTGGATACATTCTTAAGTAAGATTACTGAGTTAGGACTTTAAGGCTCTTGATACATTTTATTAAATTATCTTTCCAGAAGGTACTTATTTGCACCCAGCAGTGGATCAGAATGCCTGTTTCACTGAATTCTGTCCCCTTTCTACTCCATATAGCAGAACAATTCATAAAACAGGTATTATTGTGGTGCAGGAATAAAAACTGCATTTGTAGCCTGCTACACAGGAAATGAAAAACTGTGCTATATAGTTTTGTCAAGAAATAGTTGTTCTCATATTAGGTAGTTATTTTTCTACTCATTTTTGGTTATTAAGTTTTTTGAGGGGTGTTTTTTTTTTATTTGTTCTGTTTCTTTCAGAACTTCAGACCTTTTTTGAGTTGAGTGATCATTTTATTCCAGGAATTGCAAACAGGAATACAAAAAGGTCCTTGCCCTTGGTGGGCATTATCTATAAATTAAGTATTATCTTCATTTTATAGGTGAGGAAAAAGGCCCATTGTACCATTGTAAGACCAAGCTGAGTATATGAATAATAATTTGTTGATCTGTATGTTCTTTTCCTGGGTGATCACATCCCTCCTAAGACTTGAACTGCCTTGATGACTTCCACATGCCTCACTGTTTTCTCACAGATACCTCACACTTTGTCTTGGAGTCCATCAGACCTTGCTATTTACCTGCTATGTATCTTTGGGCTCTCTAACTTCAGTTCCTTAACTTTCAAAGTGGGATCGTTGTGATCTCTGATGACAGTAAAGGGATGTACAACTCCCAAAAATAGATGGCAAGCACTGACAAGTAGGTGCTTAATTAATGTGGGCTGTCGTCACTGTCATTCTCTCTTCAGCTCCCCTCCCTACACACGCACCCACACCACTCCCATGACCACTACAAAAACAACAACCAAAACCCTTGTTTCTATCCTTCTGTCTTGTATTACTTGTTTTGATAACAGCAAAACCTGCCAGTCCCAAGAAAGAAGCCAGTGTATCATTTATTTTCTTCTCCTTTCCATCCCACATCTTGTCAGTCACCAAGTCTGGTTGGTGGTACCTTTGAAGTATCTCAATCCTATAACTTTCTCCCACCGCCCTGGTCACTGTGCATTTCATCCCCTCCCATCTCTCACTCATATTCAGACTATTGAACTAACCTAGGGAGATTTTCACAATACGTATTTACCTTCCGCCTGTTAGTTCCAATCATCAGGGCCTGGGTCTGGGCATCTGCCTTTTTTTAAAAAGCACCTCACTGCTTGGTTCTCTTCATGATTGTGATTCTCTGGCCCTCTGCCTTAACTCTGAAAGTTGGAGTGCCCTGAGGCCGTCTTATTACTCCCATCTATTCTCTAACTACCCTTTCCTCTGTTATTTCATCCTTTCCTGTGGTTTTAATACCATTTATATGCTAATAATCCCCAAATTAAGTGTTCATATCTTTTTATCCACATCTGTAATTCTTTTTTCTTTGCATGTGGATATCCAGTTTTTCCAGCACCATTTGTTGAAAGACTATCCTTTCCCCACCAAACGGCTTGGCATTGTTGAAAATAATTTGACCATATATGTGATGTTTTTTTTTCTTTCTGTTCTATTCCATTGGTCTGGATGTCTGTCTTTATGCTAGTACCACACTGTTTTGATTACTGTAACTTTGTACTTAAGCTTTGAAATCAGGAAATGTCTGTCACCCAACTTTGTTATTCTTTTTCAAGATGATTTTGGTTATTTGGGGTCCCTTGAGATTCCATATGAATTTGAGGATGGATTTTTCTCTTTCTGCAAAAAGTGTCATTGGGGTTTTGATAGGGTTATAGGAAATCTGTAGATTATTTTGTATGTGTTGACATCTTAACCATATTAAATCTCCCAGTCCATGAACACAGATGTTTTTCCATTTATTTGTGTCATATTTAATTTCTTTCAGCAATGTTTTGTAGTTTTCATTGTATAAGTCTTTTTGCCTCCTTGGTTAGGTTTATTCCTAAGTATTTTATTCTTTTAAATGCTGTTATAAATGGAGCTGTTCTCTTAATTTCCTTTTCAGATTGCTCATTGTATGTATTGTTAATGTATGGACATACCGCTTATTCTTGTGTGTTGGTTTTGTATATTGCAACTTTGCCTAATTCATTTATTCTAACAGTTGTTTTTGTGAAATGTTTAGATATAAGATGTCTGCAAATAAGTCATTTTACTTCTTTAGTAGAGCTAAGTTTTTAGCTACAATTCTATTTATGTGTTGTAAGGATTTTTCTTTCTCTTTCAACCTTTTTGGGAGAGAGTAAATTTTATTTGGCTTCCTAAAGCAGTTCTGTAGATATCTCACTTCTGTGGATCTTTGGTTAAGTTGTAGTTGCATTATTTAATACAATACTGCTTTAAAATATGCATTTCATTTTACCAAAACAATTATTAAGGACCTGCTAGGGATGAGGTTCTTTATGACAAGCTAGGTCAACCCTTTATCCTACCCTCCATTGCTCTTCACTTAGTAGAAGAATGGTCTGGGAACAATGGCAATAATAACCATCATGCCTTACTGTGTCTTAAAGTACCTTTGTGTATATGAACTTCTAACTCATGAGTCCTCTTTGATTAAAAAGTGCTCTAAGGAGTTGAAACTGTTAGAACTTTTTCTTTGATGCCCTGTTTCTACCAAGCTACCATCTAGCATCAGTATCTTTTCACCTCACTGGTAATTCCTTCATTATCTTTTATGCCTTATATTTGTTTAGTGCCTTTCAGTTTATGTAGTATCTTCATATTTTTTTTTATCCTGATACAATCCTGTGTAGTAGCCAAAGTAGGTATTATTGTTCTACCCTTTTACACAGTAGGAAATGGAGATTAAGAGAAATCATCTCAACTAAAGTCACACACCTATAAGAAGTAGTGCTGAAATAAGAACCCAGGTCTTCAGATTACTGACCCAATATTCTTTTCTATATACTACACTTCAACCATTAATTCATTTAACTATTCAATTATTTACTCGACAAATATGTATTGAATGCTTCACGTCTACTGTGCATTGTGTTGGGTGCATGACTTACCAGGACTCACAGGGTCACTTTTTTGCCAGTTTTGACTCCCTTGCCAGCTACCCTTAGCAGCCATACAATGTTATTTATTGATCTCATTGTGTTCATAACCATAAATCAAAGTTCCAGGCCTCTTGCTTATTCCCTTTCATCCTCTAAATCTTTGATCCCAAGAGGAGGTTGGCTTTCCTTACCAGTACACACTTCGACCTTAGATGGATGTTTTGGAAGGTGGGAGAGTGGCAGGTTTGGATTCCTGTTCCAGCACTGATTCGTTCTGGGCACCAAACATGCAACTGAGTTCATCTGAAGGGAAATGCCTTCAGCCGTCCCTGTTGTGAATAGGTCAGTAGGTAGCAAGAATGCCTAGTGTGTGGGAGGCATATGTGATAGGCAAATCACATGAAATAAAAGTTATACAGCACTGACACTCAAGCAGCTAATAGCCTAAGGAGAAAGATAAGTGCCCAAGGTTATCTGGTGGCAAAGTTTAGACACTGAATCCAAGGGGTCACTGGATCTCTTAGAAACCCAGTGACCGCAAATGAAGTGTGAGGTTTGGTTGGGCCGTGCAGAACAGGAACTGGAAAGACAGAAACAGACTATCGGATTTTCATCCCAGCTTCCTCACTAGACTGTCTCATTGTCCCACTTCTTTTTGCAGTCTGGTAGAGGAGAATGTCTAATATAAAGCTTCTATGACAGGGGAAGGTGCTGGGCATGTTGGGGAACCAGGAAATGGCTCAGGATAAAGAAAAAATGTCACCTGTTCCAAATAATGCCTGGCACATAATAGGCAAATGCTAGCTACCTTTGACTAGATAGATTCCATAGTGTCTGCTGTCTGTAGCTCCTCAGGTTTCCTTCACGCAGTAAGACCTGCCCTCAGTTGGGAGAGAATAGGGACTAACTCCTACTGCTGCTGGTGGGTAATAATGAAGGGAACAGCTCCAGCAGTAAGAGACCTTCCTGGCCCTGAGGCCCCACATCTTTTTACCAAATATATACTGTTTTGAGTGCATGCCCTTGTCCAAAAATCTAGTGTGCATTGATTTAGTTCTCTATGCTATTCAATACCATGACAATTTTTGTCCCAGTGTGTCCAAATTATAAGTTATTTTTGTTGAGTGTAATTAGAAAAAAAGAGGAGGCTCTGTGTTGAAAACAGAAATTGGATATAAAGTGTTGGGAAAATAGGAGTAGAGGTCTTGCTATGAAGCCCTGGATGGTCTCCCCATGAACCTGTGGCCTGTGCTCTGCTGGCTTCTTCCCCCTACTATGCCATCACGGGTCTTTCTGAATCGGAGCTTTATTTCCAGGCAGCACGTGCCTCAGGGATCAGGCTGCCCACTGATTATAGTGAAGTTTAGCTATATTTGATCTGGAATATAATTTTTTTCTTTTGATGTGGCTACTATAATTACTCTGTGCTGTACTTTATATAGAAGAACAGAAATAAGAATATCATTCCTTGGCTGCCGTGCTGGCTCTGGCCTATTGTCCAGAGAACTTCTGGCGCCTGTCTGAGAGAGAGCTTGCCAGTCCTGGGTCTGCTCTGATAGAGCACAGAGAGTCATCCACTATAGTCTGCTCAGAAACCTTCAGTGAGCCCTTCTATGGAATACAGGCTGAGTTCTTTAAGACTGCTCACAGTCTTTTCAGCTTCCCAGCATAATCTTTCACCCATCCCTGCCCATACACAGTACTTCAGCTTCATCATTAAAAGAGCTTCAGAGTGTCAAGCTCTGTTCTGGTCACTGCAAGCACAACAGTGAACAAAACAGGTGACATCCCTATCTTCATGGCACTTACATTCTAATGGGGGTCACAGTAAAATATTAATTTGTATTTTGTAAACAAGCACAATATGTCAAGTAGTGATTAGTGCAATGGAGAAAAATTAATTTGGTTATGAGAGATGGGGAGTACTGGAATGGTGTTGGGCGAATAGGAGACTTACTATTTTAGATAAGGTGTTACGGGCAGGCCTTTCCTAAAGTGTCATTTGAGTGGATATTTGAGGGAAGTAAGGAAGCAAGTTCCTCAGGTAAATGGAGAGGGAGTATTTCAGCAAGTGCAATAGCCAGCTGTTGGGAATGAGCTTGGCATTTCTAAGGAACAGTAAGGAGACCAGTACAGCTGGAGTGTAGTAAGTGAGAAGAGTGGAAGTTAGAGGAAACCAGATCATGGGGGGCTACAGAGAATACGAGGTCTTCAGCTTTCACTAAGAGTGAAATGTCGAGAGGGATGGCATGGTCTGCAACATGATCTTCAGCTAGGACTTCTGAAGTGATTGACAGCACCTGCTGGAGGACTAACTAGACTTTCATTGTTCATTTTGCAAAAGAGCCTTTGCATCCAGGTTGATGCAAAGCACCTCCCTGAGTCCTCCCTGCTAGCTAGAGTCCACACTACAGTGTGCCAAGTTCTCTAGTGATTTTTCTCTTTCCTCCTCTTGGTCCAGCATCTTTGAGAGAGAGGAAAGTGGAAATAATGCCAGACTCTCTGAGTTAGAAAGTACACCGTTCTTGTCGATTCATTTCATTTCTCTGAGTTACAGTTTTCTTATCTGTTAAATGGGAATATATTAATATCGGGGCACAGAAATCTTGATAAACTCAAGTGATATTTGGATATAAGCAAGTGTTACTACTCTCGTTCCTTATTCATCCCGGTTGGGCTGGACTTGGAGGAACTTGGTGCCAGGCCCTCCACTGGCTTGCCCTTCCTCAGAGGCAAAACCTCGTGAGGCCCCCCAGCCTCCATACACCTTGCGATGGGCTTCCATGGAAGGAAGGTGCAGCGCCATAGCTAAACTGCCAGTCTGCTGGCTCTTGGCCATGGTTCCTTCAGCTTAGTAATGTGGCCTGGGAAGCTTTGTTCCCCTCCCCCTATTCCATTGGAGATGTCAAGAACAATTTTGGTTTAATCTTCTCTCAAAACTTTGACATATCCGTGTAGATACTTGGCCAAACTGTGAGAAATTCTGGAAGTTCTCTGAAATGAGAGAATAATGCTTTTCTAGCTACCACTGAATGCCTACTATGATCAGGCACTATAGTTGATACTTATCTTCTTTAACCCTCATAGCATCCTTTCATGTAGACATTTATTATTTGCAATTTACTCAAAAGAAAATTGAGGTTCAAAAAATTGAATCTCCTGTTGCAAGTCATAGCTATTAAGTGGCAGTTGTAATTTGAGCTTAATCTATCTCATTCCAAAATTGTTGTTCTGGATACCACACCTACACAGGAAGAGGGGTCATGTCTACAGAGGAAAACTCATGAGATGTGCTATTGTGTGGTCTCCCTGCAGATCCCACCTCTGCCTATGTGATCTGGGGCAAGTGGCTTTCAACTTCTTGAGCCACAGGTAGTCTCATTAAATCTTCTCCACAGATGTGTGACACAGGTGTTCTTACCTTTAAGGAGACTAGGCCATGGGAGGTAAGATGACTTGCCCAAGGCTATAGATTAGTAAGTGACAGAGCCAGAACCCAAGGCCGGTAGTCTAACACCTGGCTCAGTGTCCTGTCCATCATTTCTCACAGCCAGCTTCTAAGCCTTGGTATGTCACTCAGGCACTTACAGCTCTCAGGTGAATGGCTGGAAACCTGTAGGAGGAACAGTGAGCTGCACCTCTTCTGCTGTTTCTCCTTCCGTAATCTTTCCTTCTTAGAAACCTTGCTGAGGCAATGGAAATATTTGAAGTTCAAGGAAAAGGTCATGCAATGCTCAAAAACTACTTGGAGCACCCTACAGAAGCCTGGAAATATACCTCCCACCCTACTTTGGCAACATGCTGTAGTGTGTATAGCTTTGAGAACATTCTTCCTAAGCTTTTTTCTTTATTGGTATAACCTTGTAAGGTTGTTGTGAGGGTTAGAGATGGTAAGTATTTAAGACAGCAGCTAGAGCCTATTGAGGACAGTTATTTTCTCTTGCCTCAGGGTCTAGTAGAAACCAGGAGTCCTTCATCTCTCATTCTGTGACCTTTGGCATGTGAGGTACTGTCTCTACATAGACATGGTGACCTCCAAGGGCTCCTTTCAGCTTTGATATTCTGTGCTTTTCAAAAGTGAAACTAAGAAATGTTTGTTAAAAAAAAATCCAACTAGACAGAATTATATGAAGTAAAAAGTGAAAGACCCCTTTTGTTCTCCATTCATTCATTTTCAAGGTAATTCTTGTTGCCACTTTGTGTCCTTTCCATTGTTTTGTGTGTATTTTAAACATGTACGGGTGTGTGTAAATACATATACACACATGTTGTATGGTATACATATAAAGACACATACATACATTAAAATTGGAATCCAGAATACATACATTATGACTAGATCCTTTACTTGTTTTGGCATTGTTAGTACTTAAAGTTTTTTTTCCCTCTTGAATGTTTTTTCTTGTTACTACCTGAAGATTTAATTTATTCTTTTTAATTGATGTTTTTTAATGTATTAAGTAGTCCCCTACTGATTATACACCATGGTTTTTTAAAGCTAATATGCACATAATGATGTTTTTAAATTTTCTTTTCAGGAAAAGAAGAAAAAGAAACATAGAGATAGGAAGTCATCTGACTCTGACAGCTCAGACTCTGAGAGCGATGCCGGCAAGAGGGCAAGGCACGCATCCAAGGACAGCAAGGGGGCGAGGAAGAAGAAGAAGAAGAAGAAGCACAGGAAGAGGCACAAGGAGTGAGAGCGGAGCGCAGACGGGGGGCTGAGAGAAGGAACCAGGAGCCTTGGGCCTGGACACCCTGGCTCCTGGAAAGACTCAGTAGTGAGAATATGGCCTCCCACCCCGTTGACTTCTCTCCCGTGGGAGATGGCTTCCCTTTAGGCAGCAGGCAGGTTTGGGAGTTAATGTCAAAAGCACTGCCTGGATGAGTTGTTGTTTCCTGTCATTCCCAGTCCCTTTGCAAGTGACCCCTGCAAGCTCACCCATTCATTCACCCAACTTCATTCAGCAGGAGGTCCTATTAACAACCTCTCCAGCTGCCACTGCCAGAGCCAGATTTCCACACAGGAGTCCAGGCTAGAACCACAGGTACTGCTGTGGAGTAAGTCTGGCCGTAGTTAGAGATCAGGGATTGGCCCCTCCCTGTTGGTCCGCCCTGGGCTGATCGGTGGGTGATCTCAGCTGCATCTAATACAGGGGCAAAGGGAGGCTGGCAGTATGAAGGAAAACATGGTAAGAAGTGGGGCTCACTTTTCCCATTCCCCCTGACATGATTCTACTATGCTAGAAGTGACAGCCAGTGGTCACAGCCAGAAAATCATTGTTTGCGGTGACTGAGCTTGTATAGAACGTCCTGCCAGACCACTGAACCAGATAGCTAAGCCAAGATCATTGCTTTACTTTGTATTTACTGTGAGTCAATTGGTTCCACTTCAGGTCTCTGCTTAAATTCCTGGCACTAAATGGAAGTGTGTTTGGTTTTAAACTTACCGAAAGTTCTTATTGCTATAATCCCTCTTCACAGGTAACTTAGAGACTTAAAAGTCATTGAGTCTGCATTAGTTGACAGAAAAATATTTAATGTTACCTTAGACCTTGGAGAGATGCCCAGCTGAGGTACAGAGCCAGAGGTACAAGCAGGTCACAGCCTTGTTAGGAGATCTCTTATAAGCCCTCCCTTCTGTAATGATCAGATGACCTCTTCCCCAGAGCAGATTAGAGAACCAGTAAGAATTTGCAACCAGGAATAATGTCCTGGGGCATGCAGGGAGCTCTGCAGTCATCTTAAACAGTAGGCATTTTCTCCCACCGCCTCAGCACAAGCCTGGATCTTGTGTCTTGAGCCTGCATTCTGGAAAGAGAGACCACAGCTTTCCATAAAGAGCAACTGCCTAGACCCATGGCCATTCAGTGAAGGATAGGCCCGAGGTGACAGGTTAGCAGCCAGGCCTGGGGAAGCCCCGCCACTGGTTATTCTAGGTTGGACTCCCCATTAGGCTGTGGAAGGGGGCAGTCGGAAGGCAAGGTGTAGTGTAAGGTGATCGGTGAAGTGGACACTGTCCCTGAAACCTTCCAGTTTTGGTCTCTCACCCAGTGCTGCTTCCCTGGTGACCTTCAATGAGCTGTTTCTGCCCATTGTCTGACACACAAGGAAACAGACGCCCAGAGTCAGTCACCAAAGGCAAAGGGCAGTCAGGTGACCTTGGTGCTGCTTTATTGACCTCAGAGCACCCTTTGGATGCAGTTAAAAAAAAAAACAAACATACATAATGGAAACCAGAAATGGATCCAGGCTGGTGCCACCTGACCCCAGAAGAATTTCCCCAACCAACATGGATTTATACAAAATGCTAGAGGGAAAAAAAGTAGGCAATCTGGTGCCGAGTCCAGGAGTAGCCATTTGGAGAGGAGCAGTCCCTGAAGGCGTGGGCAGGTCATGGCTCTTTCTCGTAGGTGCGAGTGCTGACTGCACTGCCGTGTGTGAGTGTCTGGAAGGAAAGAAACATGAGGGTGGGGATGAGGGCATGGAAGGTATTGGGAACACTGCCCATTTTAATGGGCACAGCCCTCTACCTACATCCTCATAATCTTCATTTGTTGACTACCTACTATGTGCCAGGTTCTCTGCAGGTGTTTTTTTTTAATACTTATACCAAGTCTTTGTTGGGTGTTATTAGTCCTTTTCCACAGAGATTTTGGAAAATGAGCTTAGAGAGGAAGTAGTTGGTCAAGATCCCAGTGTTTCTTCTTTGCACTATTTTCCTAGTGTCTGAGATGGTTTCCTGGCACATAGTAGACATGTAGGTGAATAAAAATGCCTAGAGACTTGTGGAAGGACTGCACTGGGCCACCAACTCTCCATTCCTTCCCTAACTTAGGGTAGTGCCAGGGCCTGAGGCCTGAACTCCCACCACCCAGCTTGGCACTGTTGAGCCAGCCCATGGCTTCACCACAGTCCAGCTGCCCAGAGTATTTGGCACCCTGTTCCTAACTCTATCAGGACCCTGCTCTGTGTCAATCAGTATGCAGTGAGTGGTTCCCACTGACCCAAGGTCTGCAGTTAAGACGCTGAGGGGAAAATCAAAGATCCTATAGAGTTAGGAGGCCAGGACCATGGGGTGGCTGCTATCTCTGTCCCTGGGTCTGGGGGTATTCAGTCAAGGCTCCATTCTTCAAATGAAGTCCCCAAGTTTGTTTCTAAACAGGTCTGCCAGCCTGGTTGTCACTTCGCACCCAGGCCCTAGTCAGTTACTTGCAGAAGCCAGGGATGGGACGTACTGACAGGAGGTGGGCTGGGATGGGGTGGAAAGGAATGTGCTGTTGGTCAGTGCCACACCTGTCTCTGCCCCAGAGGCCTTACAGGCGGCAGTGCAGTCTGAGGAGGAGACAGAAGGGATGCTGTAATAGATGGGAGCTTCTCCTAGGGGCCTGGGATTAGATAGGCTTTGCTTTCTACTTCTCCCTGGGTTGAGGCGAGGAGACACAGAGGAGGAAACTAAGGACACACAGCACCTGCTGTAGTCCAGCCACTCAGTGATCTTTGTGTTGTGCACCCTGCAGACTTCCAGTAGCCCGAAGAGGTTGGTGTTACTAATACCGATTTTACAGTGGGACTTGGTGAAGGTGACTTGTCCAAAGTCATACAGCCTGTAACCTGAGATGTGGACGAGGCCGATGTGAGCCCAAAGCCACTACATAGAAAATTGCCACCAAATGCCACTCAGCCCTGCCTCCACCCTCCATTATTCTAGCTTCCATTGCTTCCAGGGAAGACCCTTGCTTTTCACAACTGGGGCTGAAGGGAAGTGTAATAACTGACTGAGTGAGGTTGCAAAGCTGTCCGTCTTACCAGGATGAGTTTCCCATCAATTAGCTCCCGCACAAGTGTTGTCTCTTGTCCGTCCCACTTCTGCACATGGACAAGTTTGCCACCATCCAGTGTCACAATTGACTGTGGAAAGAGGGCAGGGTAGAGGCCTAAGCTGTGATCTCAGCCAGGATTGAGGGATAGGATGGGGTCTGGTCACTGAGGCCACAGAGGACTTAGCCTCTGATCCAAACTAGTGATGGTGCTGGGACCAGAACTCAGCCCACCTCCAGCCTCGTCCAGCAGCATGTCTGATTACCTCCAGCCTCTGCTCACCTACTGCCTGGCTGGGGCAGGGTCCTTTAGATGTTGGGCAAGTAGTGAGAGGCAGGCAGTATGGTAGAGCCTGGCTCCAAGAAGCACCACCAGTCTCCAAAATGGGCACTTATCCCATACTCTAGGTGATGCCCTCAGCCCCAGTCTCCCTAAGTACAGGGGGCAGTACCAGCATGTATCCATGGAAAGACTGGTGACAATGAGGAGACCTGAGACTCCACCTAGTGGTGATCACACATAATGTCCCCTGGGGATGGGAGGTACGGGAAAATCAAGCTTCCCACCCTGTATTCCTACCCCATGTGGTGCATCATGTGGCTCTCAGCTGACAAGAGGGCAGCAACTGCCAGGACTTGGGACGGGGTACCCTTGGAGTGTCCTGTAGCCCTGGTCAAATGCCCACTTAGTTTTCTAGGTGCTGCTCCTACATCAGCTGGTTCTCATTTGGCAGCTCTCCCTGGTCTCTCTTCCCTAAGAATCTGGGGGCTCTAGGCCAGGCTAGGGTACCCTGGCTGAGCAGGGTTCAGTAGGAGGCTCTGACCAGACTGTGTGTGTGTTGGAGCCTGGGTGGGAGGTGGCTGTACATCCCCACCACCACCTTGCTCCTCACTGCCATTCCGTAGTTTCTTGCCCACTCAGCCAATCAGTTCTACCCTATGCATCACAGAGAACTAGTTGTATTTAATCACGGTTTTTGTCTCTTGGGAAGGTGGACTACACTAAAGTAGTAGAGGCATGAGATAGGGCAGGCACCTCTTTCCAAAGCAGGCTTTCACCTTCGGGCACCACCCTAACTCAGCTACCAGCTTCCTGTTGATCCTGGACTGGCTTCCAGCTACCTCCACAAGGAAGAGACCAGACTCTACCCTGTCTTTCCTGGAGGCAGTTACGAGGAAGTGGAAACAACTGAGGAGATGAATGACTGGGTCTCGTGAGAGGATACTTCTACAGGGACACCATTCAGCAGTCAAAGCCCCTTGGTTCTCTCTCTCCCATTCCTGGCCCAGGGGCTGGGAGGCCTGAGGCAAGCTGTCAAGACAGAACCACTGCAGGGTGACAAGTCTGAGACTGGGATAGGTGGCCCCGCCCTCCTTGGGCAGAGGGGGACTAAGGCTTGGTGGGAAGATAGCACAAGCACACAGGACAAATACCCCATCCAGAACATAGCTTTTCCTGCCTGTGGTTTGGCAGCAATGGAAATAGTTCCTCATCACTGGCCAGGCTCGAGAGGTGGAGGTTGGAGAAGAGGAAACATCTGAGTGGGTCACAACCTCTTGTCCCCTGCTGCCTCATTTGCTGCTAGTGGCCAGGATGACCTGCTCACTCAGCGGAGAACTCAGTTCTACTGGGCATTGTTCCTAAGGCACTAAAGCGTGGCCACATAACTCCCCTGTCTATGGAAGGGGAAAGAAACCCAGAGCCAGTGCATGCCATGCACAAGCTCACCCAGCTGGAGCTGGAGTAGACACTGAGGTCAGAGCATCCTGCCTCTGTGCTGCCTCCCCAGTAAGGGAGGAAAACAAAAGAGGACAAATAGCATTTAGCACCTGGGATGCTCCAGCACCACTCAGGCTTTATGGACTTTGTTCATTTCAACCCCCCATAATAACCAACCCCTCAGGGTGCAATAATGTAGGATGCCGAATGTCAACACTCTTTATTCCCCATAACCGCTTCCTTGACTCACCTTGACCTTCCTGTCGTCTGCCGTCGTTTCATCAAACTCCACCTCTAGCTTGAAGTTGATCTCTGTGCTCTTGAAGGTGCTATGCGTTTTTATGGTGATAATGTCCCCATTCATTTCGATGACTGTGGTGGGCTTGGTCATGTTGGCCACTTGCCTGGTAGCAAAGCCCACACCTGTTGGGCAGGGGAGAGCCCATGACTATGTGAGCTGGAGAGAACAGGCAGGCTCTAAGGAGCTCAGTGAGTGACTCTTAGGCCTGGGTGTGGGGAAGAGGAGGATGAGAACTTTTAGCGTTTAAATTCAGCCTTCCTGTTAGCTCTGTGTGGTGAAGAGACACTACTGATCCCATTAAATGAGAAACTTAAGGGACAGGCTTGCCACAGCAAGTCTGGCTGAGCTGACTTCAGTTCTGTGTGGTAAGAACTGAACATGTGTTACTTCATTCAATCCTTCCAGTCTCCCTAAAGGATTAATGCTATTATCTCTACTTTATAAATGGAAAAACTGAGGTAGACTTGAAGCCCAGGGTCACAAATCTGGAATTCAAACCCAGAATTGTTGAAAGGCAAAGCTTTTTTAACTGCTCAGCTGTACTGCCTCCCAAGGCTAAAACACAGGGCTCCCTTTGACGGCACCTGAGCAGCTTTCAGGCCACAGGCTGAGGAAAGAGAGAGGTGGACTTTGCCTTCCCAAGTGTTAGGGACAAGAATACTCCACCTTTGGAAGTTTTTACTTTTGCGATGCACTGGTGCTCTTGTCCCCTATATATGGCAGCAAGACATTGATAAAGCCTCTTATCCATGATCTAGGAGGTAGGCAGAAGGAGTGTCTGTCTCAGTGTAAAGATTTAGGAGAGGCCTAAAGTGATAGTATAGTCAGGACTTGAATCCAGCTCTAGCTCCTGTCTAAGGCCCTCACGGGACTCCCCTCCTGACCCAGGCAAGGCCTCCCTGGGTGCTGGGCACAGCCCTAAGGGTCCTGTGAGGAGGTGTGGAACAAGTTCTCAGGAAAGCCTTCCCTCCAGCAGGTTGTGGCTTCCCCAAGATCTGTCCTTTTACCTCCAACCACCCAATCTTGACAGCCCTGTCCCTCTGCCCTCAGCAGCCTATGCCACGCTGTCCTCCAGGGCAGAGGCAAGGCAGGAGCAGCCCATGGTGAGGTAGTGTGCGTGAAGTCCCCAGTTGAGCCTGGCTTCTTAGTGCTTGCTGGAAGCTAGGTTCTTAGCCCATGCCCTACATGGGTGGTTTTACTTAATACTACTAATAGCCCTAAATGGTAGGTTTTGTTATCCCCACTTAACAAATAAGGCTCAGAGAGTGAAGTCACTCACCCGAAGTCAAAGAGTAAGTTACTGATCTAGATATGAACCTAGGCTCCCAAACTTCACTATTGTTCCTGGGCCACTCTGCCTCCTGGCATGTACTTAT